GAGTTGATTGGGAATTAGCAAGTGGATAATATATATTGTTGTTTTAGGTGATTCTAAAATAGCAGAAGTTTGTAGCGTTGCCGCATCCGAGGTGCGTCATTGCATTAAAAAGTGCAATTCAAAATTATCCATCTATATATTGTTAATTTTAAGAGTAGGCTCAGGATTTTTTATTTCAAATGCTTGTTTAGTCGACAACTGCCTAGTTGGTTAGTTGTTATTGAAGATGTCACAGGTATACAGTGTTTGATAACGCTTTTATCAGTAACACCTAATATAACTCGTACCCACCAAAAGAAATCAAAAGACAGAATCGAGGAGATCAGGTGTATTTGACGATTGCCAATATGTCGGAATTGTCTGATCTAGTCTGGCTAACGATTGCAGTAGGTGTTGAGCACGTCCTTCCCACACGTGATCTGATGCGGATGCATGACCGAGCGCCTTCAGCTAGGTGAGTCCATTAAAACATGTGGTCAGCATCCAACGTCGAAAACTTACAGAGCTATTTATTTTGGGGAATTATTTTCCTCTACATTATACCGGTATAATAGTGCAGTAGTGAGGTAATCTTATTAGCTGAACCATGTTACAAGTATTTTTAAGGCAACTAAAGTGATATCCCAGTTCCTAAATGCAAATACACATAGCAATAACGACTATAATGGATTTAGTTGAATATGTTGAGGACAGTTCAAATAATTGCTAAACTCAAATAGGATAGAGTTATGATACAATGCATGTATAAGTTAGGTTAACGTGCGCATTTATATGAAATACAAAATTACAAAAATAAACTTGGCGAAAATTTCTTTTAAAGTTCAGACATAAGGAATTACAGTTCAAAGACGGGTATAATATAGAATTTCATAAATGGTTGCTATAGATATCCTTGTAAATTCATAAATATGTAGCAACGATGGTTAGAACTAAAGAGTATCAAATTAAAGTTCAGTCTAATGCAGTTCTTCTGAAAACGACACACTCATAATGGTATGTCATTTAAAGTTATGAAATATATCTTCTATCGAAAACGGTTTGGGAAGTGGTTCGTATAAAATATATACGGCTAGTCCAAGCGAAAATGCATATATGTTAATAGGTACCAAATAACATGTCAAATCCTTCTGGATTAGTTTTGGGATTTAGATTATTCATTAGATTTGACATATATAAGGGTATTTATAGCTAGTGGTAAAACGCAGTATTGCATCTAATTTCAGTATGCTTGATGCTGTTGACCTTTCTTTCATTCGCTCGACTTAGAACAAATAAAGGAGCCCAGATAATCATATGGCTGTCACTGTATGAACCATCTAAAATGACCATATGATTGCGGAAAATTTATTGTTTAAACTCACCGTATGTTTCTGGAGTATTGTCTTTGTTGTTTGGCGATGGGAAGTGTGTACTGTGTGATAAGACAGGTTTAACGAAAACATCAGTTGATTGAGGTCGAGTGGAAACAAGTTTATTTGAACGCATGGCATTTGTAAATCTGCAATTGTAAGGGTTTAGATCCGTATTCGTTGAAAAAGGTGAAGGATCCACGAATTCCCCCTGGATGTCTGAGTTTCGTTCCGTAAACAGATTGTACCGCAATGTATCCAACGTCAATTTTCACTGCATTGCAAACACCCAGTGACACGAGTGGGAGAGCGTCGGTCTACTGTAAAACGTTTGCAGTTTAGAGTTAATCATTTAACTGACAGTGAATTCATCCCACCAACCTATTAGCTTATAAGTTGCAGGCGGTCGTTCGGAATCGTGTGATTCCTAATAGTGTAGTAAGACAACGGAAAAGTCCAGACTCGAAATGAGGATTTATTTACCGCTACAGGCGTCACGTGTGGGCATATTTGAAAAGCTCAGATTTCTGAAACTTCTTACGCAAAGACTCCAAACCAACATAGCCAGAAGTCAAGGATGGTGAGATGTGAACATGTGCATGGGTAAAAAATCGATGCTATGTATGGAATTTAGGCTGAGTAGTTGTCGCAAGAGACTCACAGCACAGCGTGCGCAAACGTAGTCTGGTATAGATGTTTGAAAAAGCACCTCCAGCTACGGGTGTGTTCAATGAGACTAACAATGTCAATATCAATGTCGAAAACCTACAAAGTCATTTGTTTCGGAATTTACTTACTACTGAGGAGGAATGTATCAAAAACCATACCTCTCTGTAGCCAAAATCAAAGAGGAAACAATTCCCTTATTCTGTCTGGAAAAGTTAAAGTCAAGCCAGCATCAATGTCGAATGCTTGTAAGGCTATATGTTGAAGGTAGTTATATGTTACTTCAGTCTTCAGTAATAAGGATAGTAGGTTGATGAACCTGTGTTAATCCTGACACAATGCTTTCCAGTGAAGGTCCAGCTTCTCTTTGAAAGTATTCATTGATGGGGCTGATACCACTTGTTCGGGTAAAGCGTTCCAATGATTGACTACTCGATGAGAAAAACGGGATCCCACTTTAAGTTTATTAGATCGTGGTTTATGAACCTTCTTGCTATGACCTCGGAGATTATTAGTGCTGGAGGGAGCAAAAAGATAAGACATATTAACGCCCAAATCATAATTAAAGATACGAAATGCCAGTATAAGGTCACGTCGTGTCCTACGATACGACAAGGGGAAAAGATTTAGGCGTTTTAAACGCTCATCGTAAGGGAGTCTAGAAAGACCTTTCACTAATTTCATTCCAACACGCTGGACACGCTCAAGGGAGTTAGTATCCTTTACCAGACATGGGCTAGCTGCTTGGATACAGTACTCTAAATGTGGTCTAACATATATGGGATATAAAATTCGAAACGTTTCCTCGTCAAAAGATTTGAACGCTCGGCGAAGTGACCATAACGCACGAAAACCTTTGACAGCGGCTGCTTTGCAATGCGCAGTTGTTTTTAAATCATGACTTAATATTACTCCTAAGTCCTTATGCTCTTGAACGCATGGAAGAGGTTTACCCTCAATAGTGTAACGGTAACTATTACCGTGACCGATGTGCATTAGTACACTCTTCCTAGCATTGATTTCTAAGCCCCACTCTCGAGCCCATCTAACTAAATCGTCTAAGTCAGCTTGAAGATCCACATGATCAGCCGCACTTTTTATTGTTCTCCAGATTTTTACATCATCCGCAAACAATAATGTCGACGACCTAAGTAACAGCGGTAACTCATTAACGTAGAGAAGGAAGAGCAGAGGGCCTAAGATGGTGCCTTGGGGTACACCACTTTTGACCGGCTTCCAATCGGATAGCGTTCCATTGACCCTAACTCTCTGTCTGCGGTCACATAAGAAATTTCCTATCCACTCATGTACAGTACCTATTATTCCGAAGCTCGTGAGCTTCTGCATAAGACCTACGTGTGAAACCTTGTCAAACGCTTTGCTAAAATCTATGAATATCACGTCGACAGACAGACCGTGATCTAGGGCTGCTGTCCAATCCTCCCTCGCAATAAGCAAGTTAGTCAAGCATGAACGCTTGTTACGAAATCCGTGTTGCTCAGGAGCTAACAGATTGTGTAAATCTATGTGGCTTAGCAACCTAACCCGAATTATCTTTTCGAGTAACTTAACGACTATGCTAGTTAGACTGACAGGCCGGTAGTTAGATACTATCTGTCGCTGACCGTCCTTAAATATAGGACTAACTATAGCGTCCTTCCAATCTCTAGGGAGTTGAGCGAGTGAGAGGGACATGTTGAAGAGTGTCGCAAGCGGTTTTGAAATAATGTCCGCAAGAGATGACAGCAACCGTGGATGTAACCCGTCAGGGCCCGGTATCTTACCAGGTTTCAGGTTAGTTATCAATGGAAGAACAGTTTCCTCAGTCACCTGTACAGATTCAATGGTTGGTATCTCGGTGTGAGTGGGACAAGTATTTCTCAAAATAAACGTAGAGAAGACTTCCCTAAAGTAGTCTGAAAAAGTCTCAGCTTTTGCCCGATCTGATTCAGCTAGTAATTCCGAATTTTCGTGTAACAGTAACGGGGGAATACCATCACTACGTTTCATTTGCCGTTTAACATACGAAAACAATCGTTTCGGACAAGTACGGCTATCATATACTAACAGTCGTTCGTAAGTGGTACGGGATTTGGCTATGGTTCTCTTAGATATTACGGAATTTTCGGTACTCACGCTTGAATGGTGCATGACATGTCAACAAGAATAAGTCCCAGAAATGTTTCCTACGCTTTAACAGCTTCCGGATTTCCTTATTAATCCATGGAGGGCAATGTGATAGCTTGCGTGCTGACCATGGGATAAACGGGGACGTTAGGGACTCGAATGTAGCCTTAAACTTATTCCATTCATCTTCGATCAATCCATCCGCGTCGACCGACCAATCAGTCGAGATAGCACAGTTTCTGATTTCCGGAATATTAGCTCGCCAGATATTGGGACGTGGTGGAGCAGATACGAATTGTATACCATGTGTCCTAAACTTAAAGTGAATTACAACGTGATCACTGTTCACTAGTGGGGGAAGGTGCTGGATATCAAAGACATCCTCAGAGTGGTGGTTGAGGGCGAGGTCCAGAAGTGACGGATCGTGATTGAAATCAATATGTGTCGGTTTTGTGATACATTGCACAAGTGCACACTGAATAACGGTAGATAAAAGGTCGCTATCGAAACCACTACCTGGAGCTGTAAGCTCTATCCAGTTGATATGCGGTGCGTTGAAGTCCCCAATGATGAGACAACATTCTGCCATACTCCAAGAACTGATGTGTCTTAGGATAAAGTCGTCAGCAAGACAAGACGGACTACGGTATATTCCCCCCATAGTCATCTATTCAACTTTTGCTTTTGAAAACGATACTCGCGATGCAAGCATTCAATATACAAAGCCATGGGTAAGCAGAATTGAGAATGAGGTGAGGGAGAGTAATCCTGTTTACAAGCGACCCATATGGTCTTCGAAGATAGAAACTAACGTTGGTCGGATATGCTGACAACATTAGTAATGTTAATTTGACGTCATCAGGTTTGAGAATTTACCTACTTTCCGGTATCATATATGATGTAAGGTTCATAAATTTATTTATATACTACCTTTTCGTATAGGGAGTGTAGTAGTTTTGTTTGTTTCGAGTGTGCTCAGTGCACATCTGATATCCTCCTGTTGCCTTGTCGGCTTTGGCGGGCAAGGGGTTTGTCTTTCATTGATAGCTCTTAAGAATGGTATGCCGCTAGTTAGTTTGATTTGGTGACTATAATTAATTTGTAACACGACGTCGTTTGTGCGCCAAGAATTATAAACATAATGTAACCAGGTTTCACAACTTGGTTATATATCATTAACCGTTCGTAAACCAGATGTAAATGTTGATTTATCTTAATCAGTATCTTTCTAATTGTACCCCAGACTTTTAGTTTGTTACTTAAGTTCTATCAGCACTTATTAATACGTAACCCAGTACTGGGCAATTTAGCTAGTATCTTCGTGGGCAAATAACCTTCCTAAATTAAAATATGGAGGTATCAGTACATCTCTTGGTACATTAAAAGTAATACAATACAGTTAAGGTGGTCTCAATAAGTTTCACACATGTGATATAGAATAATCTTCCAGATTGAGCTTAGTGGATCGTAATAAACGTGTTTGAATTACAACCTTTAATAAATTCTGAAAATTGGTGTCTTGTTTGCAACCCGTTTAGTCAAACTTAAGTAATAGTTTATGGATAGTCTCCCTAGAGTTTGTACCATGGGCATACTTCAGTGCACGTTTGAACGGAAAGTTACAAGTTAACAAAAGGTCGTCTTAACCGAAAGAATGACAAGAATCTAGTTACCTTTGTATTTTAAGTCAATGCTTCTACCTGAACTTGCTGGTACAAAATAAGTAATACTTTATGTGGTTGTAGGTATCATTACCAAGGTTTGACTTGATAATTTCGAATAAATTGAGCGTGGAGTAGATTGTTATAAATGCATAATATATTTGTAGTATCCCAATGAGTAGAAAAATTAGATTTTCTGGCGTTTCGTGACTTAGTGTAAGCCACTTCAGAGGATGAGTAACCAAACTAAAATTAATCCAAGTTTATTTCATGTGTTTATTTTTTCTACCAAGTAAATAACTGGTAGTAGTCCTCACTTTTACTCAAGTTGTGTTCAGTTTATAAACATGTTTTCGAAAATCAGTTACCTATTTGTTCAGTAAAAGCAATTTAATTCTAACTAGTCATATCCTAGCGTTATACTATTTTTCCGTTTGGTTATCTTCTGCAGTATACTGGCTTATCCCCGTAATTTATTAGTTGGTACGTGATACTGTGCTTAATAGTGTTTTGCTGAACACCATGTTACATACTGTCATCTAGATAACCGGGTATACATAATCAGTTATATGTGCTAATAATGTTAATTTTTTGTGTTTTATGGGTTTCTGGTCATCTTTATTATTACTTTTATTAAGTGCTTAGTTTCAAAGTATTCGAGTCAGGTTTTAGTGACCAACTTGTCTTAAATCAAAGTTTTCAGTCAGTCAGTCAGTAACAACGTAGAACTTCGTACGTACGTACATCAGTTCGAGTTGCCACACCACATTAGCACAGAGATGCACTTGTCGATTCAAATCCCGTAGTGGTAGAGGTAATAAGAGTATAAGCAGTAATCGGGAAGATTAGGGTTTGGAGATGTTATTTAAAGAGTATAATCCAGTGAAAGAAATTTGGAAAGAGGAAAAAAGGGACATGAAGAATTCAGAAGATTAGAATTTGGGAGAACACAGAGAGTGGATGCACCTGCGCCATTGCAAACGATTTTGAGCCATGTCATTCAGGGTCTCTAACCATCGGTTGCTGTCATCTCGCGGTCCCCAACCAGGTAGTCTACACCTACCAACATGACTCAGTTCACTTGTCAGTGACTTCATGGACTTGTGCCATGTTTTGGTTTGGCCGCCCCTAGCTTTCTTCCAACCTACTCCTATACCACTGAACATAGCACGTCGAGGCAGTCGGTCGTTGGGCATACGTAACACGTGTCCCAGCCATCTCAACTGATGAAGTTTCACTACTTCATCAATTGATTTGCCATCCTTACCTAGTACCCGTTTCCTAACAACTGTGTTACTTACTCGATGGTCCCATGATATATGAGCAATGTTTCGAAGACACCTATGATCAAATACTAGTAACCTACGGATATCCTCTACTCTTACCGGCCATGTTTCACTCCCATAAAGTAGGACGGAACGAACTGCTGCGCAGTAAACACGTCCTTTGGTTGATAGACGGATATCTCGCCTACGCCATAAATGACGCAAGTTGGCAAAAGCTAGTCGAGCCTTCTGTATCCGTGCTGAGATTTCGTCACACACTAAACCACAAGGGCTGATGAGACTTCCAAGATAAGTGAAGCGGTCGACACACTCAACTACTTCACTCCCTATCACTAGTTCGGGTGTCGATGTAACCCAATCCTGAAGCAACATTTTGCATTTCGAGGGAGAGAATCGCATCCCGAACATGCTTGCATTGTTGCTTAGAGTGGCCAGAAGACTCTGCATTTTGTCAGTGTCTTCACCAAATAAAACGATGTCATCAGCATATTCTAAGTCAACAAGTGAACCTCCTGGTAGAAGTTCAACCCCTGTAAATTTAGATGAGGAGAGTGTTATCTCTAAAAGTACGTCAATGACAAAGTTGAACAAGAATGGGGAGAGTGGACAGCCCTGACGAACACCACTTGAGGTGATCAATTCTGATGACAGTTCGCCATAAGCTCTCACTCGACCAGTTGTGTTCGAGTAGAGAGCCTTTATAAGGTTAATGTACTTCTTTGGTACTCCTTTCAGTGACAAACACTGCCATAGAACCTCACGATCAATCGAGTCGAATGCCGCCTTAAGGTCGAGAAATACTACCATTGTGGGGCGTCTGAATGTGTGTCTGTGTTCTAGAACCTGACGTAGTGTGAATATCTGATCTATACAACCACGTCCAGGTCGAAAACCAGCCTGGTTTTCTCTAGTCTGCTCTTCACGAGCTTTAGTTAGGCGTCGAAGTATTATTGAAGCTAATATTTTAGACACTATATTAGTCAAACTGATTCCTCTGTGATTGTCACAAGAGGACTTTTGTCCTTTCTTAAAAACTGGCACAATCAGTGATTGAGACCAGTCAGATGGGATTACGTCCAGTTCCCAAATTCTACCTAAGACCTCAGTTAATCTCATTGCTAATACTGGACCACCATCCTTAAAAATCTCAGGAGTAAACCTGTCAGGGCCTGCTGCTCTCCCTCGTTTCAGATTTCCTATGGCTTTTTCAACTTCGTAAAGGGACGGAGGACCTACATTAACTTGCCATTCAGGTTGACTGGAGATCGTGGGAAACCGAAGTGTGGCTGAAGGCCAGTTGAACTGATCCCTAAAGTGTTCTGCCCATCGATCCAATCTCCTGGATTGAGAATGAATAATATGTCCATCTTTCTCTGAGATTGTTTCGCTAACGGTCGGGTTCCTAATTCCGGTTTCCTTAACGAGTCTGAACAATTGTCTGCTATTACCTATTGCCGCTGCCTTTTCCATCTCTCTTGCTTTCGCTACCCACCACTGTTCGCGATCATTGCGTAGACTTCTTGTCAGCTTGCGCTTAAGCTGACTCCGCTCTTCATTATGTTCAGAGCCAGGTGGAATGTGTTTCCGAGCATCTATCAGTGAGATAGATGCTGCTGAGATCCAGTGTTGCTCCCTAACCTTCTGGTTTACCTTACTAGCAGATATCACTGCTGTTTCCACAGCTTTTCGGATATCATTCCATGCTGCATCGGGGTGGGCATCACATACATGGCTGCCTAACTGTTTTCCTAGTTGTTCCTGAAATATACTCTTAGCTTGACTATCATTAAGTAGGGCCCTAAGAGGTTTCCTTGCAGCGTCTTTCCTACGTCCAGTAAGACGCAAGCAAATACGCGCTCGCACTAGAGCATGATCTGAATCTAGGCATGTGCTCCAGAATGAGCGACAGTCTTCTATCGAGCCCCTCCATCGGTGGCTGATAGCGATGTGATCTATTTGGGTCCAACGTTGGGACGAATTAGGGGGTCGCCATGTTAAAAGATGTTTTTCCTTATGCTTAAAGTTAGTATTTGCAAGGAACAGGCGGTTATCTGAGCATAGCTGCAACAGACGGTCGCCATTATCTGTTCTTTGAGCCACGACACCATAAGATCCACCTAGGTGTCTTTCCTTATCACTTAGTTTACCTACTTGAGCATTAAAGTCACCGGCCACTATTACTACATCCGAGCGCCTAGCTTTTCGGAGAAGGTCCGAAAGCTTTCTGTAAAACTCATCTTTTACATCATCTGAGCTGCAGTCAGTGGGAGAATAGGCAGAGACGACGAAGAGGCAACGACGAGTGTCCCTATCTTTCCGGATTCTTACTGTTCCGTTCAGTCGGACAGCGCACAAACGACTGTCTACTGGGATCCACTCTAAGAGAGCTAGTTCTGCCCTAGGACTCAATGCTATACCTACGCCGGCGAGGCCACGGGAAGCAGAATCAGGGCTTCCAGATACACGAAGCGTAAATCGAGTCGGTTCTTTATTTTGGCATGGTGAGGTCAAATGAATGACGCTACTTGGATCCTGTATGCGCGTTTCGGAGACGCAGCACACATCGATGGCGCGAGATTCTAAAGTTTTAGCTAAGGAAGCCTGCTGTCCTATTTGGCAAAGTGTTCGTACGTTAAAAGCTCCTACGTGTAGTTTAGAGCGTGGTTTCAGGAGACCAGGAATGGCGTTCCACGTACTCGAATCGTTTGCCCTAGCGGTGCGAGGTGATAAAGAGACGTGAGGAGGGTTAGTCGGGAGGATAAGAGAAGTATTAGGAGGTGTAGGAAGGATTTGAATGTGACCACCTTGGTCTCTTGTGCTGTTACGGGTATGAGGGCTGATGTCACTTCCCGGCTGCCCACACCGTGGAAGGGTATTTCTTGAGGAACCTGAAAAGGAAATTGGATTAGTGTTGGTCTTGACGACCTGGGAGCGTGACCGCAGAGCCCAAGGGACAACTGCTTGAGGCCGGTCGCGCACGGCCTTTTTGTGGAAGGTTTTTGACGTGTTAGCTCCGTTCTTCAAGGGGCCTTACCGCCGGAGACGGAAATCCGTGAGGTAAGGTGAGGTGTGCATTTTTAGGGTCGACCTTTTCTAACCCCACCCCTCCTTGTGGGAAGGCAGCATCGCTGTCATGCTGGTTGTCCGAGGGAAACACCTTACTGCTGTCACACCTCTCTACAGTCAGCAGTACGACTTCGCCCTCAGACCTTGAGTTGCTGCTTTTAGTCTTACCGTTCGCCAATCGACCTGCCTGGCATGGTAGAACCTGCAGGAACATATGTTCCAGCCAATATAGCTCGGTTGGGTCATCACGATAGGCAAGCCCGATCACCGCGTCAAGGTAGCAGCTTCGATCGGGATCAAAGTTTTCAGTTCGACAAAAGTGCGCGCTACCCTCTCAACAGTGATGTGCTTGCTTGGTGTTGCTTCTGGTTTGTTAAACAATCTATACATGTTAGGAAGTAGAAGTGCTCACTTTGTTCTGCGAGATCAAGATTGACACAGTCGAAGTCCGCTTTGGGAATCAAGAACAGATTTTTGATAATTTACGCACGGATGAAAACACTTCACGTTTTTCTTCACTCTAAACCAGCGAAATCTTTGAGAGATAAGCTCAATGGTTGCTCAAACACTTATTGTTATCTGTCAACTCATTTACTCAGTTTGGATTCGTGTACTTAGCTACGAGCCACACTGTGAGGCCTAGTGAATGTCCAGTTGTCCAAACCAAGGTAGGGGCAACAGGATCCGAACACCTGAATATTACAAGTAGTGCAACATATTCAAGATGTGACGGTATTAGTTCGGGATAGTTAAACGATCTTTATTTCTGAATGAATTAGTTGTAAACTGTCCTCACCTGTTCTTATTTAAGCTGGGTCTTCGGAGTTATCAGTGACAACTTGTGATGGACATCGTAGTCCTTTCATTAAAGTTAATGTAGTTCAACAAGGTTGATCCCTTAAAAGTGGTTCGAAAACTTATCTGTGGCAAGGCACCTAGAGTGCGTGTTCAGACTCTGACCATGCTCTAATACCAGTACGCATTTGCCTGCGCCTCACTGTACGCAGAAAAACCATGTTAGGGTGACCCATTAGAGTTGAATCCAATGGCGAGAAAGCTAAAAGTAGATTCCAGGAACAACTGAGGTCACACTTAGGTAGTTCTGAAATCAAGGCTGACCCATATGTTTCTTGGAAAGACAAAATCAGCTATGGAAAGTAGTGACATTTATTAGTGATTTAAACCAAAGGGTCACGAAAAAACCAGTTGATTTTTACTAAGTCTATTGCACTGATAGATTCTCGTAAATTTATCCCAACACTATGAAGAACGAAAACAAATTAGATCTAGGTTAACCAAAAGTCTAAGGAACGACCGTAAGCAGTGGTGGGAAATGAAAGCAAGATATGGAAAAGGCAGCCGCTGTAGGTAACACCAGACAGCTTTTCAGACCAATAAAAGAAACTAGAATTAAAAAATGAAGTGTGAGACGATCTCGGAAAAAGACGATACTTTTATCTGCTCTCAGCCCAGATGTTTAGAACGATGGGCGGAACACTAAGGAGCAATTCAGCTACTTTACAACTACCCACCATTCCCAAACAGCCTGGATGGAGCGTTGAATTGTTCCTCCGACTCTAGTTGAAGTCCAAAAAGCTAAAGCTAATCTGAAACGAGGAAGAGCAGCTGGTGCACGTGAATTGGTTTCAGAGGTCTTTAAGTATGGTGGCCCATTTTTAGCTATTAGGTTGACTAATATTTTAGCTAAAATCTGGAATTTGGACGTAATCCCATCTGATTAGTCGCAATAACCGATTGTCCCAGTATATAAGAGGGGGTCAAAATCATCCTGCGATAACCATAAAGGGATTAGTTTGACTAATATAGCATCTAAAATAATAGGCTCAATAATTACCGGGCCCCTAAGACTCATGAACTGCAAACACAAGAAAATCAGACTGGTTTCAAACCTAATCGTGGTTGCATCGACCAAATATTTACCCCTCGTCAGGTTTTAGAACACAGGCATGCTTATTGGCGTCCGACAATGATAGTTTCTTTTGACTTAGATGCAGCATTTGGCTCTGGACCGAGAGGTTCTGTGGCAGTGTCTGTGATTGAAAGGTGTACTACAGAAGTACATAAACCTTGTGAAGGCTCTTTACTCGAGTCAGAGCTTATAGAGAGCTGTCATCTGATTTTGCAACCTCAAGAGGGTTTACGATTTGTGAAAATGGTGCGTTCCTGGCCTTCAGATGCCGCTTACTACACCACACAGCTAAGAGTTCTACGCCTCGATTCAGTATCTCACAACACTCCGGAGAAGAATCCAGATTATATATCCACTGTTGTAAGATCACCGATTGTCGAGTCGGATGTGTCTGCATATATTCTTATAGTTGCTTGGATATCATGGCAGGCAGGCATAGTTGACTTGGCGATTTTTTTAAACATAGATGAATGCTTTCCTTGTACTGCTATATAGTTTGATTGTTCTTGACTCTCAAAATCGGTTTGTTAATAAGCTCATAAAAGACGCGGTTGGGTATAAATCTACGTTAGAGATCTGCCAATATGTTGAATGTTTACAGTTCGCTGATAGTCGTCGGTTATGGGTAATCCAGAATAGATCCTTTTTTCCAACAAGCGAATGTCTTTATTGTCAGTGGTATACTAGGAAAATCTAATGAAGTGTACCGAATTTGGCAACTCTGAATGTTTACAGTGATGCCCTGGTGTTATAATCGTTGAAAAACAAGATTTAGATGTAGATGGGATTGTCTGTGCTTCCTATCAGATAGTCAGCAGTATATAGATATGCAAAGTCATGAACGATAAGCACACATAAAATTGCAATTTTAAAACATTTCATTTGTAGAAATCACTGCGTATGGGAATGCATTAGAGCATAAATTTATTTCACTCCATAATGTTCGTTATTCTTGCCTTACAAAATAAAAATATGTTTGGACAACATATTTCCAACAGAATAACCACCACCGAAAAATTAGTGATTATTTAAAATTCATCGAATAACTTGTTTGGAATATGTATAACGTATCTTTAATCAACTATAAACAATGTTAGACGATGTAAAAGTAAGTCAGAAGAGAGCCGGAGGGAGCATTAATCCGAGACGTCAAAAAATGTTGAAGTGAGCCGTATGTGTAGGTACAGACTACCGGTTTGGGGACCTTGCGATTACCGTAACCATTGGTTGGCGACATTGTTCAGAATAGGTCACAAAAAGACATTCACGTTTTGTCTGCATCTAAATCTTAAGCGAAGTAACAAATCATTTCATGCATTTGGTTCCCTCTAGGGATTTGAATGAAGCCAAAATAACACGAGGCGGAGTAATATGAATACATTATATTTCTTGGTTTCTCAACAGTTGCTTATATATTAAAATGTAACAGTGAGGTCACATGTTATGTGAAGTAATTGAAATGGATGACGGAAAGAATTATAATAACAAGCGTTATCAATAGTAACTATACATATATCTGTTTAAAGCAGCCATGAGATCGTTTGCAGATAGAATTCAGAAATATAGGAGGGGTGTGAGGGAGTAATTAAATGTAGTTAGGAAGCAGATAACAGATTTACGTAAGATTCAAGCCACTTGAAAAAAGATTTGGAGCCATGAGGTTATAATTATCTGGAACTAGAAATTGAAGGGTCACGTAATAATTAAACAAGATTTGGAAAGTTGGCGTAGCAGGTCGTTGAAGATGGATAAGTACTCATATATCAGCCGAAGTCACCTGGATATTTTTTGATTACTGTCACTCGAAGTAAGTTTATGGGTGGTTCTTTTAATTTTGACGAGTGGTTTAAAGTATCGCTATTGCGATATTTACGTCGAAATATCAAGTATTTTTCATGTAACCCACGTTGAATAGTGTTCTGTTTGACTCGACATTTCTATGTCTTGTTTTAACATTATTTGAGATCCGAAATCAACCGTCTCCATTGTCAGTCAGTCTATTTTCAGTATGTATATCCTTATGTAGAAATTCCTGTTAACTAGTGAACCTTTTTTATATTGTATTGTCCTTTTAATATGTGCTTACAGAATAACGAAACATCAGAGCTGGAAAATAAACCTGAGAACAAGAACATGTGCAAACGTGGTTGTGGCTTCTATGGAAGTGTTCGATTCAAAGATATGTGTTCCAAATGTTATCAGGAGCATATTAAATGTAGTTCTACCTTGGAGCAAGCTACACTTGTTCATTCCACTTCAATTGATATACCAGATAATCGAAAGTCACAGCTCTTAGATTGCTGTGAACACTCTCCCAAAGATTCCACTTCAAATCAGTCAGACCCTACAACATCTTCCCAATTATCTCGTGCGCTTAAACGAAAGGCAAATCCCTCAGTCTCTGCAGAAACTTCCAAAGGTATGGTATTTAAAATATGCTATGGTCCGATCATTTGTCTTTTACTTTGTTCAGGTGTGACTCAGACTCGATGACAGCCGCGTTGATGCACTCGATCTTTGTCTTCTATATCATGATTTTCAAAACTACTTCATACTTTTTCTGCGAATCCTTTCTTCTTTAATCATCCTTTGTCTGATATTTTGTCACTGATACTATTAATACTCTGATATTCAACTTGATAAATTCCATCTTATGTTGATATGTTGTGGTGACTTGAGGCGATGCACGTTTGTGCTGAGTTCTTACATTGCTTGTGATTGGTTGTCATTTTATTCAAAACCGTCTTCAATTATGTCTCTGCTTTTATTTTGGTATCATTATTGGTATTATAAATTTATAACGTTTACCTTCAGTGTTATTGTGCTTATATGAATGTAGGTAGCTTGTAGCTTCATAAATATGTGTGATACTGTACATTGTGTATATTTAATTATCATTCTATGTTTCCCTACATTGGTTGGTAGAGTCCACGCAGTGGTTTAGTGATTGGATCATCCTCGATTGAACCGTTTTGTCACAGCTTTAGTTTGTGCAATCGGATAATATTATCAACCCTCAGTTAAAAGTGTGACCCAAGACCGAATACATTAGTCCGTAATTAGCAAATGGGTTGCGTATTATTTCAATGGTTTTTTTCAAACTGGACGATAGCCGTTCGCCACCGATAAGGTAGTGGTATGTGTATTGTCAGATTGTTTATTGACCACTGACAAGATTTGTCCGCTTTTTGTGATGTAAGTGACTATTTTTTATATTATTTCAGCCGACTCGTCAGCTTCCCGTCCCGTTCTTGGCGTCAATCGTTGCACTTGGTGTCGCAAGCGTGTTGGACTGACAGGTTAGTGAGCATTCTTTACATTGTTAGATAACGTGTAAAGTGAAATGTCCCACTTATTACTAGTTTCAAAATGCCCTCCCACAATTCTAGACAGTTTACGTAACATCCCTTGACACATCAATTTACTTTATAGATACACGCATATTTATCACTTTATTCTTCTGCGTTTTATCTAAAATAGGTAGTCTAGTATGGTATGAATTTCGATCGTCTATTAATTCATTCAATAAAGTTGAACTACAGTTTTATTCAGTTGGACAGCTCAGTTTTTCAGTTTCTTTGCATTGACTAGTCAGTCATAGTCATGGATACCACTAATGTGTATCACTCTAACTTGTCAGTAAAGAATAATCGATTGCGAGAAAAGAAGACCTAGGTCGAAAGTCAGTGAGTAAATAGCAAAGGGGTCAAATATGTAGATTGTCATTTCCCGGTTACCAAAACCGTAGGGGAACATTTATTGAATGGGTTAAAGAACGAACAGTGTTAATGTCGGTTTTATCGACCTTGAAACATGATCACAATGCCCAATGTATATCAACAAAGTTGACGTTTCTAACCCCTCCTTCACTGGTAAAAAATATCGCTGCGAATACCAGTTATTCGCAGAAAATGCCACCACAGTGGTATTAGCAGTACTTTTTCCCCCTATTGGACCCCCATTAATCTCAATCATAACATTCTCCAGCTGACCTGTAAGATTTTAGTTGACAATTATTTTAGCTTCTCAAGGTCAATTGGATTAGCGCATTAAAATGACTTGACTCCTTCATCTGAATAGTAGCTACAGTTATGTGATTATTGATACTCATCAAGACCATTATTCAACTATGTAACTTAAAGACAGTTGGTATGTAATGAACCGTATGTTTATTTGGATTCCAAACATTTTTGCAATAAATGTATGTGGGTCAAAACACCCAGGTCTTCCTGAGGATTTCTTTCTATTCGTTTGATTTTAAATTTGTAGGCACTCTCCGAAGTATCGTCTTTTATTGGTTAATTTATACATACAGTTAGGAGTTATCGCGTCTTTCTTGATTTGTTTTGGGCTGATGTAGGTTTCGCTTGCCGCTGCGATGGACTGTTCTGCTCATTACATCGATATTCCGATCAGCACGAGTGTGCTTATGATTATCAAGCAAATGGTCGTCTTGAACTAGCTCGCGCCAATCCAGAAGTACGTTGTCCCAAAATTCGAAAACTGTGAGATCACGAACAGGATTCCGGATCTCCTAAACCTTTGATATATTCCTCTCATTTTCATTACGCCTTTCACGACAAAATCAATATTAAGACGATATCAGCTCCTACTACAACACTACTTGTTTTCTTTTTTCATATTTATTCAATGCCTTTGATTTTGATTTTCTTCGCACACCGATGGTCTTTACAAAGTTTATCATAAATTTTTTTGTGAATATTAATACACTAATAAATCATATTTGTCAATCAATTCTAATCCATCTCTATGGCATTTGTTGCTTCATCTTTTATTGTGATTATATTATTACCATCTACTCCTACCTATGGGATTTTTCTCACGTTGGGATTCCAATGTATTTTCATTTTATGGAACATGTTGCATTATAGATTTTCCAAAACCACGCCTCTTTAGACCAACACAACTATATATTGTATATCATGATTATCGGCGTAAAAGTGTGAAGTAAAAAGGAATTCTCTATTCTTATCCAAATAATATTTGTTGCTTTTATTCTCGAGTGCATACATGCTTACGCGAGAATTCTACATCAGCAGTGTTTATTATCAAGACATAATTTTGGTTGGCTATGTCTAAAGTGTAGATTGAGTAGTAGTAATCTTTAACATTAATTTTTTGGTTTGCAAAAGTACTTGTCTTATCATAACATCAAAATGACTTATACGTTATATATATTTATAAATATTAATTAAAAAGCGGGGTTTCTCGTACTTACGGCGAGGCCCTTTTTAGTTCATATTTCATTCGTATAACTTGTACAATATGTGTGGACAAGTGTCAACAAATAATTTTTCAACCTCATGACATCCGAGCGGTGTTTGTGTCTATATATTGTGTATGCGTGTGCTATATAAGCTTGTTGATGTAATGGTTACGAATAGTGATTGATTTAGTTGGAGTAATTTAATTTTCCCTTTTTTGTTCTTTCATTACCTCTATACACATATTTGTATCCAGTTTTATTGTATTTACCTTTCTATTGTATCATTATTATTACTATTATTCTTAGTTGCTGGGTTCAAGACCCATGTGTAACTGTATGTTTACAGGATTTCAGTACCATTACCTATAATTTCTTATTTTTATTTCTCTTATTGTTCTGTTTTGTCAGTCAGTCATCAACATAGAACCTAGTAAAAATGTGCGTTGGTGTAAATTAACATACCTCATCATTAGCACGACGAAATGAAATTAACAAGATGCGTGGCAAGAGAGATCAGAATAATATGGCAGCGGTGGCAATGTGAAGTACTAAACATTAAGAATAGGTTTTAGGATAAGCAGATTAGAAAGGTACATATGAAGAAATACCAGGATCCAAGACTGAAAAAAAGATAAAGAACACACCTGTACCATTGTAAGTGGTCCCGAGTTGTGAGACGAAGTCTCCAACTGTCGATCGCTGTCATAGTGCTAACGATAACCTGGCAATCTGTGTCTGTTAACATGGCTCGGCTTCATGCTGTTGTTTATATGTTCAAACGAAACAACAGTAGGACAATACCTCGCACATTTTCACTGGGGACATCAGTTATTTACATTCACAGATGTTTTATCATGACCTTATATAGGAGCTACTGTCAAATAGGAAAAAGGAATTTCAATTCGCGTTAGGCATTTTAGGTGCGAAGATTGCTTTAAAAGCTAATGCTGATTTCGGTCTAGTCATGAAGAATAGGTTGTATTTGTCGCCTTAGTTATTCTGATTGCGTATATCAATGCTTCAACGACCCCGTACCTAGACTTATCACTTGTTTATGAATTCAGTCTCGAAATTTATAAGCGTTTACTAGATTGCATATCAGTTTTTCCTTACTAAAATAAAGAGGTGTGAGACCAAGTGGACTGCAGATAGAAGTAGTGCATCAGTTCTGAAGTTGTGTAAATACCATCAAATATTCTCAAAATAGCTCACCATTCAGATATACTTCGGACTGTTCACTACGTGCTTTATGAAAAAGGTTTTCTAATTATGGGAGAAGCCTTAAATTCTCAAGTTTAGGTAGTTGTTACGAAAGAACCTAGGGCGTGACATTTAATAAAAAAGTATAATTTCACCCAGTAATTTGATAGTGTTTATTTCTCGTGAGTTAAAATCTCATGTGTAAACAAGTGTTTTGCCTACGCTTATTTTGAAATACACTACAGCACGTTGTCATTAATTTGGCGTGGTTTGTGGTAACTTAGATATCTTTTTGACTTATTCAAAACAATAACGAACGTAGCAGAATAACTTGGTCTTATCTAAAACAATGAGTGCCTTCGGTAAATTTTGATAATGTCAAGGGAAGGCGTTGTTCAGAAGAATGTGATGTATTTATACCATATATTTCTAGCAGTCTGGTCACATTTTTGGTCGACCAATTGAATAAAAGTTTAGTAAAGATGGCGATCCTGCTGTAACCTTCTTTTACTTTCTTTCTAAAAGTGGTTGTGTCTCCTTTACCTGAAAGATTTCTTCTGATTGTACCTTTTCGTTCCGTCGTTACTACCACACTACCTTACCCCAATCTCTTCGTCATTGTTCTCTTTTTCTTTTGCGTCCCCTAGTTTTTTTTTCTCTTTCTATTTCTCTTCGAATTTTCATTGTTTTGTGTGGCGCATATATATTGGCGCTCTCTTGTACCAATATTTATGTGTTCAAATAAATAAAGATGCAGTAATAATTGGCAATAAAGGAAATGAAAAATAATATAAAGAGAATAAGTTGTCATCACCCAAGGTCTTGGAATGGATCAGAGGTTAACATAAACGCAAGGTGAAAGTAATTCATTCTTTCACACAATAATTCTTTGAGTCTCCTGGTAGCCAAGGCTTTTATAAACCTAGAAGTGCACCCCTAGCATTTCCCCCACATAACGGTAAGAGCTAGTTCAAGGTCAGTCCTATAACCTGTATTAATTGTCTGTTTTGCGATCGAGGAGAGGGTGGTTTTCTGACCCTAGGGTTTATTGGAGCATCGGACACGTTTATAACGGAACCATTTTTGGGACATGTTTCATCATTAGAATGCAGTGTTCGGTTACTTACTGACGCGGTTTGTCGCAGTAGTATTTTGTTGATGACCAAGTCCCTGAAGTGTGAAAATGAGGAATATGAGGTTCTTTCGCTAATTCCGTATTCTCTTCGTGCCTGAGTAGTTTATTAAGTTTCTGAGTGCTTATTTATTTCCTGTTGGTTACTAATTACTATAATCATAGTTTAAATATGCTCTGTAGAAACTAACCAATGTTTGTGTTTCATCGAGGACATTTAAGTGATTTATTGTGATAAACACACTGTTAATGCCACGTTTTTGATGGAGTTTTGTTCTCTGAGCTTGATCGTTTGGTCGTGGAGCTTTCATCGTTCTTCTGAACGACATCATCAGCACAAACTTCACGACCAAACCATCCAGCCCACAGAACAAAACTCCATCAAAATCATCCACCTGAGCTGCAAATCTTCTCCACCATCTCAAAAGTTAATGCCACGTTTCACAAGTTCCATATGATTGAGTAACGTCGGTAAACAATAATAGAGTTCAATGAATAAACCGGAGTCTTCATTGCTCCATACAGTTAAGAATACATGTAATATATTAAAAAGAAAGCTTGTCGTTCAGGCTAGTGTTGTATTCTCAAAGCTGGATGGTGCATTTGGAATGTTTTCATACTCATTCTGGACAAAAACTTATCGTATTGTTCAAATTAATGCTGCTTGTTTCTCGATTAAATCATTCAGTTTGAAAAAAAAACATCGAATGGTATACTTCTAAAATTTAGGACAGTTCTTAAGTAAGATTTCAGTTATTTTCATTAGCGAATCACAACGTATATAAATGATAGTTTTTATTTTGACTAGAATAATGCTATTGTTTAATCAGCCTACTATCTTAATTTGATTTGCACATATCTCGATATTTACTTGATCAAAATCAAATCATTTCTATTTGATGGCCAAACTCGATGTAACTTATCAGTGTTGACATTCACTTGATAAATATTCATCATTCAGTAGATTTCTTCTAATTATTTCTGTTTCATGTTACACCTTTTTGTAATAAATAAGTGGAATTGTAATTAATATAGAAACTGACAAATTGTAAATCGATTATTCCCGTAATATTTGTAATTCACTAACCATTCTTATTCATTTGTGTACTTCATTATTGTAACTTCTTTAAAAAATAATGGAAACTTATATCTTGAAGTGATATCAATGTGCTATGTTCTCTGATCTGGATATGGTTTAATTGTATGTCTTTCATTCTTGTTCTGGATGACACCATCACAGACCACTTAGAATTAATATTTCGTTTTCAATAATTTGAATAAAACTTAATACTGCTGTATTTAGACATTTAATGGATTGAGAAACAAGTAAGTATAATTTTAATAGTTGAGATCACGAGTCAGTTGAATCTAGACCATCATGGAAAACCTCGAAGCACTGGACGGACGTGTCAAGTTATCGTGGGACTCCTCAGCAGTGTGCATCCACGATTCCGCCTCGTGAGATTCGAACCCAGGACCTATCAGTCTCGCGTGAAAACGCTTAACCTTTAGACCACTGAGCCGGCATCCAACGGTGTTAATGTCTAACTTCGATCAATTCACGAAATTGCGCCACTGTCCACCACTGTCTTCAATGAGTTACTATCTCACAACAGACCCGGTTGAACTCCACTAGTTTTAATAAGCTTGTAGTGCATTAATGTCAAACGAAAGACTGAAAACAAATAAAGTTGAAGTTTCTCAGGAAACCAAGTTTTGAGAGACAACAAAACAATAAAACATTCAATTAATAAATACCTTTGTATAGCTTTATATTAACGTATAAGTAACCAAGTAATTTAACTAGAAGTATTATAAATTTACATGGAAATGATCCTTATGTATTACATCAACTCAAACATAAACTGAAGTTCATTTGTATTGATTGTTTGAATATTCCTGTTGACATTTAGGATTGAGATTAATCCTTTGCAAACTACCTCGATAATATTAGCTGACAAGTATCAAATGGTATGAGATGTACATTCTAATTTTCACTGCTATCCACCATTCAACTCTGCTTATAAACTGAAGTATTTTTCTTACCAATAAACCTTTTAACTTTGCAATTACAGACAAGAATCAGCATATCATAACCAGACTGAAAGTATTAATGGTTTTTTTTAAACCTTAAAAATCTGATTTTGTTTTCTTCTCATATTATAATACACTAAGACATTTAACTGGTTCTTATGAAATGGATATACGATTGCTTTTATCTATGGTATATATATATGGAAATCAGTTCTAGTGTAAACAGTCATATAACTTCTGGTGATTACTTTAACATTCTAGATATATTTCCTAATGATAAAGCAGAATATTCCTAATCGATTTACATAAATAGATAAGTTTGAAATAAATAAATCCTTAAATTTGATTGGTTGGCTATTTTTTTATTACTGTGTTCTGATTGGTTTATCAAGACAAGTCAGCTGTTTTTACTTAGATAATAAAATCAGCTGAGAAAAAAAAAGTTAGTCTATAGATATTTGGAAAAGCTAAAATAAATTGTTTTTTCATTATTTTTCTGATCAATTCATAATTTTATTTGCTATTTAGTATTTATGATAAACCAGTTTTAATTTAATCATTGTGAAATGCTATTCGTCTGTTGATATCATCACAAATTTACGTTTAAAGTGATTACAAATTTTAGGTAGGCAAAAGCATATTATAGAAATTTCAAGAAAAGTGAATATTGGGTACATTGTCGTTTAGAAGTTAAGTGTTAGTGCACGAAATATAAGGTCCTGGGTTCGAATCCTGCATGTGGAATCATGGACGCGCACTTGTGAGGAGTTCAATACTTGGACTAAACGGATGTACAGTGCTTTCAGGTTTTCAGTAGTGGTCTAACATTGATCGGTTGATGATTTCAATCAGAAAAACTCAACAATCTCCATATCCCCATACTGCGTTTAAATTGACTAACTAATCATGATCATATGGAATTTAAAACGTTATTTTATAACTATGGTGTCAAAATAATAGTAACAACTATTTATTCACACTGTTGTTCAAATATACGTTTTTCCCTTATATTGCACATTATTATTTGGCTGCTATAAGTACAGTAAAGTTGACGTTTCCTAGAGCTTTTCGATTTAAAGGTTATATTTTCATAAGATTAATTAACCAACTGTGTTTTCATTATCAAAATGTACCATAATGGTTCATATACAGTTAATTTCCATGATTAATTTGAACTAAAGCAGAATAATACCCCTTTGCCGTCTTGTTCTTTTATTGCTTTTATAAATACCCATCCAAATGTAGTAGCAAGTACGTAGAAAAGATTAAGAGAAGGGTTTATACGTGACTTGCAAAAGAGGTACTTAAAAACATGTGTCTGAAAGCTGATAAAGTTTTCATAGTACTAATGGCCAGACATTTAATAAAAAAAATGAGATAATGTAAATTTTTATAACAAAAACAAATGGTCCATTTTACTTTGCTTTGTAGAAAATGTTGTGTCTAAATATTTCCGACCTCAACTAATTTTAGAACGATAATGTAATAAATTTTTCTTTGACATGGTAAATATGACTGTAATTAAATAAATTGATCTGTTACTATATCATATTAATGGTCTCCATTTTGTTGAATACAACAAAAGTCGAACCTTGGTTTTTTATCAGTATTGACCTTCATAACTTTATGTTATTTACAGTTGAATAGAAGTAATCTACTAACTGAAAATTCTTCTGTACTCTCTTTATTGAAGTGGATTAATTTTTCTTAATTGTTCCGAAATCATGTAAGCTATTGATACATTAGTGGCTTAGTAGTTTTGGCTTTTATCATTCATTTCACACGTCATGAGATTTAACTATATTCTACATACTTCGATCGTGTTAGTCACTTGATAATTCTGAGCCTCACACGTACACACATACCCCACAGACGCAAAAAGTTTAGATAAAAACTGATTTCACGAATCAATTTTATTGATAACTAATAAACTATTAATAATGACTTGAAATTTATATTCAATCTCATGTTGTATATTCTAACATTAAGTTATTATTTTCAATAAAATGAATTGAGTTTTCTTTAGTACATTCCTTTAATATTACTTATTACAGTCTACTGATAATAACTCTGTAGCAAGAGAGATAGAGAGAGAGAGAGCGAGCGAGTGAGTGAGTGAGAGAGTGATCTATTTGACAAAAACTACAGACTGTTGATAAGCACACTTGTATATCTACAGTAAAATGTAAATTAATACTGATAAATTAATTATTTTGTAATCAGTTGGATTGCGCCATCTTGCATTCAGTAAAACATTCGCACTTTTTTTCATTATTAATTAATTTGTTCCGTTCATAAAATATTTTCATGATTATTTGATGAAATAAAGGTAAATGATTATCAGGTGATTGCATCATACTACAATTACATTTCGTTTTAAAATATGAAAGAAGAATATTAAGCATGATTTTGAGATGGTGGAGAAGATTTGTAACTCAGGTGAATGATTTTGATGGGTTTTATTCTTTGAAATGATGGTTTGCTTGTGGAGTTTTCATCATTCTTCTGAACGACATCATCTGAACAAACTTCAGGTACAAGTGAAGTGTTCGAATTTCTCTACATGTTGTTCACAGTATGTCCTGTACACCTCGTGGATGATTGGTTCTTGCTGATCCTAAACGTATAATTGTTTACTTCTTTGTTTTAGTTGTATCTCCCATTGGTTTGATTTTTGTTCCTATGTTTGTGCATAATTTTCCTCATTGGTTGATAAGTTGGATCGATTTCAATGTGCATTTTGATTGCTGATTGACCTGAGTGTCAAGTTTCTAAAAATTCTCTGGTGTTTTTAGAATTGCTTCTATACAAAATTTCCACATTTTTCAAATCGAATTTGTGTCCGCAGTTGTTCATGTGCATTGATATAAGTGAGGACATATCAGGGCATTTGATTGCTTATTGATGTTCATGCAGGCAAAGATGAAAAGGACGTCAGTTTTATCTGATGTAGTGTTTTTCGCAGCTGGCACAATTCATTTTGTAAATGATGTTTGGTTTATCTTCTTTTGTCATTTCATCCTTTGATTTGCATAAAATTGATTGTAGTGATTTTTCTATTTGTGTACAGTACCTATTCCGAAGGTTTTCAGCAGTCTCGTTGTACTTTCTGATATGCCTTTTATGTATGGTAGGGTGATAGTTACAATAACTTAATAATTAAACGATGCGTTAAACGTCTGTTCTAAGTAAAATTCCATATTAGTGCAACTATTTTAATCTCATTATCTCCTCAGACTTAATGTACAGTGAAGACAGTCGTGTAAGTGACTACTAAGTCATAACTCTTGTTTCTTGGAAATTTAACTAACCTAAGAAATTCTCACTTACTACTTAATACACTTGGAAATTTCGATAGACTAAAGGGAACTGAGGGAAGTTAGATGTTAGTCAGATACTCATCAACCCTTCCAACTGTAACATTTGCATAGTGAATGAACCAAAAAATTTGAGATCGTGGACTGGGTACAGTAATTTTAGCTCACAGAGTTAGTATTCAGTGATGCATGATTCCAATCAACTACTAGGTGGAGGTTCAGTGTCTGGTTTTCATTGGGAGATAAACAATCAAGATCAAACTGATATTTAGTGATCCTCTGTTTTTAAAGATTTTCTGGTTCGATTGTGCCTGCAATTTTAACTACCTGTAGATCAAATAATCACAACGAACTGTATTTCGTAAACGCTTCTGCCTGCCAAAAGTCTCGAGAAATATTTGCTAACTACGTTGTACTACTAATAAGTAGTTGAATTTAGAAAAACGAAGTGAAAGCACTTGGTAAGAGAGTTGCAAAATATGTAAGAATTGAAGTGTACAAAATATTGTTTGAACTAGGTAACATTCGTGTTATATTTCGAAGAGAATAAACAACAGTAGCTGTTAGGATCTATTTATAGACTAATACTTTACATATATTCTTATTGTACAACTATTCAGTAACTAGATTTGGTATATCTATATTCCTCTTATTAAAGGGTTTATTTTGACCTATAGACTATTATGATACGATTTACTAGTCTTAAATTATACTCAGTTTGTTAATTATCGTCTCACACAATCACACCCCCTTTTGGCTTCATCGTGTATTAATGTCATTTCCTATTTTATGGTGTGATGCGGTCCGTATGGCGTGTATATAAACCAGGTATGATTGACAAAAATGATTCACACAGTGGAAGCTAATATTGGTATTCTGAACTCAACTGGCAGGGTTAGGTAGGGAAAGGACCAATAAATTCGCTAGACTGCTCACACCGGTCGACACATCATTGGTTTTGCACAGTGCTAAGATTTTATAAATCATACTCTGGTTGACGAATAAATCACGTGATATTTAACCGGGCTAAGTCACAAAATTTGGTAATCGCACTAAACAACACTAGTAAATATATGATAAGAATATGTCTTGGTGAAATGTTGACATGTATTTACATTTAAAAAACACTAAATTTATTCACAACAATAAATAATGAATTGAGTAAACATGAAATCAGAATAATTAATTTGTACTGTACAAATAGTTTGTTTGTTCTATTGCATAAATCATAATAACAACAGTTATACTTGTTAACAAGTCCTGGATTAAGCTCATTGATAGCATCTTTAGGTGGACATTTAAGTAAACAACCCCGACCTTCCATTTGATAACCTTGGAAAGTTGAGTAGGCTGTCTGTAAATGAGAAATTGAAGAAAAACAAAATATTGCATAAAATCGTAAGTCATAAAGTAATCAGTAATTATTTCTGAATGGTACAAATATGTCCCATTTAGTTAATTTGAAGAGAGCAAGAAGAGAACATGAATGATATAATATGAATCCATTTTATTTCGTTAGGTTCTCTTCAACTGCTAACTAACTGTAATATTTCGAAATTGATATTACAAAGTGGGTGGTTATGATTACTTGTATGATTGTATTTGGTGGGGAACTATTGCAAACAAATCCAGCTGACGAGTCCCAAATAGGACGAAACGCGCGTCCTGGATTCCGCTGCTAGCCACTATCCCTCATTGCTTACATAAAAAGCTTGTGAATTAAGGCGATATCGAGGCATACTCACAGTATGCACATATGCCAATAACAAACTGATCAATTGCAGTCTTAAACCTCAATGGGGTGATACAAACCAAACAATATCAAGTGAATTTAAATTCACCCCATTGCACAAGCAAGTGGCTATCAGGACTCAGTAGCTGAGTGGACAACGCGATGACGTTTGAAGCGAATGATGCTGGGTTCGAGTCCCAGAGTGAACATCAACTCTGTGATGCAGGTACATCCAGCTGACGAGTCCCAAATAAGACGAAGCGTGTATGCTGGATTCCACTGTTAGCCACTATCAATCTTTGCTTATAAATCAAAATAGTACAGAAAGAATGTTAATGAGTCTAAAAGGCTAAATAAAATAATTTAAGTATATTTCTTTCGTAGAATAACATACTGGTACACTGTTATCAACTCCGTATGGAGCCCCTTTGGAGCTACTGCCAGCCTCATACCCGGATAAAGGGGGAGAGTTGAGCATTGAGTTAGCGACTTCATTGCGTAGAAAACTAACTCGCCAAAAAGACGCTAACCAGAAAAAATTATTTAAACTATTTAAACTCTGCCCTAAAATTTAGAAGGTCTTCATTTAGAAGAGTTATGACGCCTTATGGTGAAAGCTGAGTTCCTTCGGAAGTCACGAGACTGATGCCCCTTCTGACAACCAAAGCAACTATTAATTTAGGTATATGGAATGCTCGTACAATGTGAGAGACTTGGAGAGTCTTCCAAACTGCTGGAGAAATGACGAGGTACAATCTGGAGGTTCTTGTAATCAATGAAACACATTGAACGCAGATTGAACAACAACGACTAACTTCAGGGGAGCTTCTGTTATACTCCAGCCATGATGAAGGAAATTCCCCACATACACAAGCAGTTGCATTGATGCTATCCAAACAAGCACAAAATGTACTTATAGGATGGGAGTCTCATGGACCTTAGATCATCAAAGCCTTTTCCAAAATAAAGAAAGAGTGCATTACAATGAACGTCATCCAATGCTATGAACCTATTAACGACTACAATGAAGACGTTAAACATCAATTCTACGATGGGCTACAGTCAATCGTTGAGAAGTGCCCAACACTGATATTGGTAAATATCAACGAAAGAAACACTAATCATGAGTAAGATAGATAAACAGAGAATACTTCATTTAGTAAAATGTAAATAGGTATTTCTTGAATATTAGACGTCACATTGACACTTTGTACTTTATTGAAGGTATCAACAAACAGTCTAGTTCTAGTTATTTGAATGGTTATGAAGTTGTTATTAATAGGCAACAGAAGTTTAAGTTAAATGTTCCGAGAAAAAACTGTTGTGAATATTTCTCTGTAATTGTGAAATAACTTTTATCTTGGTATATCGCAAAGCTTCTTTTAATTCTCTCATTTGATTATTTTGTTATTTTTTAAAACTCATTTATTTCATTATTTTAATTATCAACTAACTGGGCTTTACTCATAATATTTTATTCTTACGTTAACATCTATCCATAACGTAATGAACAATTTCTAACCCTTTAGTCTTTACGGTTATCAGTGAACTAGAATGCCATTCTACGTTTGAAATATACTTAAAATGTTGTTACTTAATTATAAGCAAAGATGGTTAGTGGCTAGTAGTGGAATCCAGGGCGCATGTTTCGTCCAATTTAGGACTCGTCAGTTGAGTGGATAACGCGATGGCGTTTAGAGAGAACGATACTGGGTTCGAGATTCAGAGCAAAAATCAACTCAGATGCAAGTACATCTGGATGACTAGTCCCAAAGAGGACAAAACGAGCGTACTGGATTCTACTGGTAACCATCTTTACTTATAAAGCTTGTGACTTAAGGCAATATTAAGGCAGTACGTACACGATGCACATATGCTAACAAAAAACTGATCAATTGCAGTCCTAAACCCCAATACTTACGTACTTACGCCTGTTACTCCTCGTGAAGGAGCATAGGCCGCTCACCAGCATTCTCCATCCAACCTTAGCCAAATCAATACTTTCCAGCTCTTTCTACTTTTCATTCATCCTTTTCATACCTGCTTTCATTTCCCGACATAATGTGTTCTTTGACCTTCCACTTTTCCGCTTCCCTTCAGGGTTCCAAGTTAGGGCTTGACTCGTGATGCAGTTTGATGATTTCCGTAATGAATGTCATATCCACCACCAACGTCATTTTCTGATCTCCTGTTCAGCTAGAAGCTGATTTGTTCTCGCCTAAAGAAGGCTGTTGCTGATGATATCCGGTCAATGGATGTTGAGTATCTTGTGTAGATGACTATTTATAAATACTTGTATATGTTTGATGATAGTTGTACTAGTTCTCCAAGTTTCAGCTCCGTATGGTAGAACTGTCTGGACGTTCGTATTGAAAATTCTGACTTTGATATTGGTTGAGAGTTGTTTTGAGTTCCATTTGTTTTTCAATTGTAGGAATGCGGCCCTTCCTTTGCCAATACTTGCCTTTACATCAGCATCCGATCCTCGTTGTTCATTGATGATGCTACCCAGATATGTGAATGTATGCACCTTTTCCATAATTTCTCTATCAAGTTTGATTGCTTTGGTGTTCTGCGTGTTGCATTTGAGGATCTTGCTTTTTTCTTTGTGTATACTGAGGCCTACCGATGCAGAGGCTGCTGCTATACTAGTTGTCTTCATCCACATTTACTCTTGTGTATGGGATAGGAGGGCTAGGTCACCTGCGAAGTCAAATTGTCTAATTGGTTCTGAGCTATCCATTGTATTCCGTGTTTTCCCTCAAATGTCGAGGTCTTCATAATCTAGTCGACCACCAGAAGAAAGAGGAAGGAGAGTAGACATCCTTGTCTAACTCCGGTCCTTACTTGGAATGCATCTGTCAGCTGTCCTCCATGCACGATTTTGCACTGTAGTCCGTCGTATGTGTTCCAGATAATGTTGACAATCTTCTCAAGTGGAACATACTTCTTAATATTTATTCATATTGCAAGCAATAAATTAAAAGTAAAACCTTCTTTATTTTATTGTAATGTGGGGTTATTTCCACTTGACTTACAATACAAACTCCACAGTTATCTAAAATTTCGTCTTTTGTAATTTGGAATAATTTTTTGTATTTGTCTTCACATGGTAAACAAACACGACATTTGATAGCAGAAACTACAAAGAAAAGACACAGAAAAACATGCATTTTTCTCAATAAGTGGATTAACAGCTCTCAGTTGATATATTAATTCCAATGTTATTGTTGGAGGGAATCCATAGAAATACCGTAATTCATTCTTTTCCATATTTTGGATATAATATGTGCTCTTTAAATGTAGGGATTATCCATAAGTTTCTAGCATTCAATCGTAGATACCTTCAGAGCATTGTTCACGTATCTAGAGAAGTCTAAATGAGCAGCCCTAAAGTTAAAAACGCAGTAATAAGTAAAGATAACAAACTGGTTGGTAAAATTTTGAATCTTTATCGATTAAAGGGGTTGAAACGTGTATTACGTACGGCTGTCCAGTGTTTCCAGGTTTTCCATGGTAGTTGTTGGATTGATTCAGAAAATTTCTTGCAAAAGACAAGCAAGCATCAAGAAACAATAAGAAGCGTTTCATCCAATCAGCGTTCACTTGAACTTTTAACCAAAATATCAAAGAAGTGAAACGTCACATGTAGAGGTTCTGATTGACTGATTGCTATATTGCTAATATGTTTAGTAGCATTCCAGAATCTTCGAGCAACCCAAGGACATTTAAAAATACTATAAAAACTCTATATTTTCTGTTAAAATGAACCTTGAAGTAAAACTAATTCTCGCATAATTTGCGTCTTCTCTCTCGTTGTTTAGGTCGCTGTATAGTTCTAGCTTTGGTGGGGGGCGTTACAGAATAGCTTAGGAAACGAATATAGCGTTCAATTTGCAAGACTTGTCAGTGGTCTAGACTTAATTGAATCATGATCTCAACTATTGAAATGACTATAATATCCACAAAACCCTTTCTGATATCTATCAAAATCAGTCATTAAGCAATAACTGTCAAATAACAAAAGTTTAAACATTTAAAGTCATTTATTATCTTAGTAGGTAATGTTATAAATAATTGACGTTTTATCAATGCAATAAAAGTAATCAGTTTATAATCTTGACATTATGAAATATGTAGTGTATGTAGTATATAGTACATAGTATATATATATAGTATAGTATAGTATAGTATAGTACATATATAGTATATACATAGTATATATATATCGTAATATACTTATTACATAACATTTGACATCCATTTTACAAAACAAGCAAATGTATTTTATTTTCAAATTTAGAATGATTTTCATCTTAAAATTAAAAAAGAAAAGAAAAGAAAAAGGAAAACAATTAACCGTTTTTTTTCTTTTTTGATTTCTTCATTGGTTACATATGAAGATTCGGAAAATAGAATAGAATTGTTATCTACTACTATAACAATTTATTAATCTGTAAAGATTTATATTTTTAGCTTTAGTGATGTTTGTTATAACTTGTGGACTGAGTGCTTTGTTAATGTATAACGTAACGATACCGCCAATTAGAGAACAGTGAATTATCGATCGGACCAAACCTGTACGAATAGTCTAGAGTCCTTATCGGTCCTACTTCCCGCCTAGCCCAACCTGTTATGTCCAGAACACCAATCTCAGCCTCTGCGATATCAATCATTTATTTCAAATGTACTGGGTTTATATACAAAATCAAACAGATTACATCGTACCATAAAATGGAAAATAACATTTGTACAAGATCTAGCCAAATGTGGCTGTGAATGTGAGAGACTGTAATTGATACATTGAGCATAAATCAAGAATATATATATATATATATATATATATATATATATATATATATATATATATATATATATATATATATATATATATATATATAATATTACTAAGTTAAAATTAGTAACGACATTCGGGAATCTGATTTCGTCATATTTTAGTTTCATCAAACAGACCTTATGAAGATCTTTTTGGGAACTAACATTTTGCAAATTTAAAAAACATTCTTAATCATCTGCATATTTTAATATAAACCAAACTATATTTCATTAAAAAAATAAGTTTGTTTTTAGTAATGAAGAAGTGAACTATAAGAGGAAAGATGAATAATGGATAGCAGTGGAATTTAGGACTCAAGTTTCGTCCTATTTAGGACTCGTCAGCTGGATTGATCAATTGCAGTCCTAAACATCAATTAGAAGATTTAAGTAGACATTATCAAATGAATAAAATTATTATGTTTATATTGTCAAATAATTTATTTAAATCAGCTATGTCAATAACTCTTTCATAGATCAAATACACTTGGTATTGTTTATTTGAATCTTCCCATTGATGTTTAGGACTACAATTGATCAGTCTCTTATTGGCACATTTGCATCCTGTGATGACTGTCTCAATAATGCCTTAATTCACAAGCATTATAAGTAAAGATGGATAGTGGTTAGTTCGTTCTGTCCTATTTGGGACTCGTCAACTGGATGTACCTACATCTTAAATTTGATTTTTACTCTCGATCTCGAACATATTATCATTCGCTTTAAACGTCATCGCGTTATCCACTTAGCTACTGAGTCCTGATAGCTGCTCCCTTGTACAATAGGGGACAGCGGTAGGTTCAAGTCACAGAGTGAACATCAACTTCAAGATGCAGGTACATCCGGTTGACGAGTGTTAAATAGGACGAAACGTGAGTTCTAAATACCACTGCTATCCACTACCCATCTTTCCTCTTATAGTTCATTTCTTCATTACTAAAAACAAACTTATTTTCAATGAAATATAGTTTGGTTTATATTAAAAATATGCAGATGATTAAGAATGTGTTTTTTTTAATATGCAAAATGGAAGAAAACCTTTTTCTAAAATTCACATTTACTGTATACGTTTGATTTATTGAAACCAGCAACTTGTAAAAATGTAAATTATCACTAATATACAATCAATAGATTTCTGATATTTTTGTCAGGTAGATATTTATATCCAGAAAAGAAAAAAAATCAATAAAATTGTGACATTGTTTCATCAAATGATACTATTGATGAATTATGTATCCATTCATTGAGAAATGAATTTAATACGGTAACAATCGACACATTATTTGTAAATCACTACAATTGGTTTTGATCATTAAGATGATATCAGTAAGTGAATAGTTGAAAGGTAAGAAAACTGTAGTAAACTATGGCTCCCAACTGCCTTTGTACAGTCGAGGATGAAGAGAGTCCACTCTCCCTCTTCAAATGCTCTAACATGGTCCCGCTTATACAAATACTGTCAAGGAAGTCATACTCACTAAACTTTCGTAGTGGGGATGTTGTTTACGAAATTGAGAGGACGAAAAATGAATTTCCGGAGCTTTAACTGGGTTGGTGGATATAGGAGATCTACCTAGGGGAGTAGGAAAACTCTGATCCTAAATCAATAGTGCACATAAGCTCCAGGATTCAGAAAGTACAGATGGCGTATGAAACAACTGGGACTACGTCTACTGATGTTCTTCCATTGTCTTATGGTTTAGACCTTTAGTTTAAAGGCTCAGGTTGTGGCCTCCTAAGAAAATTACCAACTACTCCGTTTGGGAACCCGGAGAGTCAGCATCACAGCGCTCACACAAATCAATAATAACTACTACTAGCTTCATTGATATTGTGTGGTGCATATGTATTTGGTGCCCCATAGTACCATAGTTTATATGTTCAAATAGGTAAATAATAGCCAACTATTTGGTTGAAAACGGAAATTTATAAACTGAATGCATTTATGTTGACAGTATTAACATTCCAATCACCATATCTCGTTAATGAATAACATCATCATTTGTTATTAGCTTGTAGTACGGGTACAATTTATGAATCCCAACTCATTGATTACATAGAATCCTTAATGCCAAAGAAGAAGATGAGAATCAAGAACACATTACACCGAGAAATGGAGACAGACAACAGAAAAACGAACGAAAATTGGATGCAACTGGAAAGGAAGGCGCAGGACAGAGTGAGTTAGAGAATGCTGGTCAACGGTCCTTGCTCCATTGTGAGTAACAGGCGTAAGTAAGTAACTCATTGAATAATACGTAAACTGTGAAATAATAATTAGTGAGACAAAACTTGGCTTAGAATGACAGTTATTTCATAAATGAAATACTGTGAAACACTGATTCAAACTATATAAATGAGTTAAGCGAAAAATAATCAACTACATTTCATTTTGCTTTTCATCAACCTGCTTCATTTGACAAAGATACTGCAAAGACAGTCAGAACAGACTTATTTTATAAATAGTTTATGCTACTATTGAGTTGTGTGCTACTTATATTGACATAAGTAGTATATGATGTTAGTCGTGAACAGAATGTCTGGCAACAGAGAGACATGAGGATCGAACAGTAAAGAATGGAAACAGAATGCAATTTATGTGAAAATGCAAGAACAATGAAGTCGGAGTCGTTATGAGACAATTTGCAAGTTAAGCATTTACTTTATGATTGATAGGTTTTATTAGCAAGTCTTGTAATACATTCGATTGTCCCCATTCGTGTTCTGTTCACTACACTATATGTATTTCTTTCAACATTTCTCATAATTGGTACAGTTACTATCAGTGACTGTAACTTAGTTGTTTAAAATAATATGACCTTGGAACTTCTGTCTCATTTTAGAATCCTCCATAGCATTACACATTGATTATCACTTAAATACACTGCTGTACACATATGCCTCTTGTTCTCACTTACCCACTGTTATGATAACAGAACGCTAATATATTTGCTATCTACGTTTACAGGTAACAGTGATATTAGTATCAGAAGGGGTTTTGTGGAGATTGTAGTAATTTCAACAGTTGAGATAATGAGTCAATTGAAGCTAGACCACCATGGAAAACCTGGAAGCACTGGACGGCTGTTTCTTCCTTTTGTGGGACTCCTCAGCAGTGCGCACCCACGACCCCGCCTTGCGGGATTCGAACTCAGGACCTATCAGTTTCGCACCAGGCGCTTAACCTTTAGACCACTGAACCGATCAGCATCCAACGGTGTTAATGTCTAACTTCTAATTATCCACGAAATTGAGCGACAGTGATATTCTCATTATATCTTGTTATACATCTCAACCTATAAGAATTGTAATTGTAATTATTAACTACTTATTATTGTAGATTACTAGACTAAAAGAAACGCGACCACTTCAATTATTGACAATTTAATTAATGTCCAGTATATATTTCATCTATATATAGATTATATTCAATATATTAATGCATTGATTTTTAGATGTAATAACTTTATTATTATTTTTTGGATTGTTATATTCATGATGCACCACAACGCTTAGCGTTAACTTTCAGAGAGTAAAAGAGAGAGAAGGAGAGAGAAAATATATCGAAAATTCTAGAATCTCAAAATTATTTCAGGAAAAGGACAAAGTATTTATGTTTTGTCTGTAACAAATCAATAACTCTTGGTCTATTGTTGTTTGATTGTCAGAGTTAACATCGATGAGACCTTTGAGCCTTGAGAATGTTCACTTACTGACTAGAGCTAAATGAGGGTTTTAAACCTTTGTGAAGGATAATGATTTTGATTTACAGTTGATGGTTAGGGATAGGGATTAGATTTATGGTTTTCATCACGAACTCACATTAGCTAAAATGTCAAAACTCTATTTAGCCGAATGGATAAAGGATTTAGCGCTGAAATCCAAGACCTGTTATCTTAAATCCGATTGACTCGTCCATAGATTATAGTCTCGCCTTAATGTTATTATTTAATTGGAAGTTTAGTAATTAGAATAATTGCTATTTGGAAATTAACAAGTATGTGTTTAAAATGTGATGGAAATGGTGTCAATACTGTAATGCGAAATATCATATTAGGTACATCATCATGTTTATGTCTTATTTAGACAAAGAGAAGAGATATCTGAAAGTTTTGATCTGGAAGAAGGTTGATGACAACATTCTATTAAGAAACTGTCAAAGCTAGCTTATTGCAATATCTAATCACAAACAAAGTACAGATGATCTTACTAGACAGAGGTAGAAGATCTACGAGCGAACTATTAAACGGATTCCGTCATTGGATTCTATCCGTTACGTCAGTTAATTTATAAGTGACTAAAAGTAGCCACGGTAATCAATAAGTAGCCAAGACTCGGTATTCCGACGTTTCCTGAAACCATGGATATTGGGCCTCTAAAACCCTGATTTCTGTACTTTAAAAGAAATAGTTGTCATATTTTTGTATCTAGGTAATACAAACGTTTTTTACTCGTTACATTATAAAATTCTATTCAGCTCATTCTCTTAACAGATTACATCACTGTATCTCTTTTCGATTATCTTCTAGATCAACAATTTCATTTTTAACTGACTAAACCTCACTTCATTCTTGTTTACTATAGTGTTCATTAATTACGTAACCAGTGATTTCTAGACCTTAGGTCTTTCGTAACAATCAAAGATTTTTGAAATCTTCCATGTAAAATATATATTTACAATTTCTTGTTTAGTCACTTTACTTCATTCGGATCCTGAAAAGCGTTCATAATACTTTCCAAGTAAATTCATTTATGTAAGTATTTTCAACTCACTTTTTTAACCCCAATTGTGAAATACTACAGATTGTAAGCAGCTGATTATTTTACCTCGTAATGACTTGAGTAACTTAAATTACTTTTTAAACTTTAGACAAATAATCTACTTCACCAAAATCTTTTCAACTATTTAATCTTCAGGTTTCAACTGTTAAAGATGTTTTATCAATTTCAGCATCATCCTACTTCGGTGTGATTTGTTCAGTGGTGAAATCTTTTTTGAAAAATTTTGACAGTTAATTGTGATCTTATGACAGAACTAAACGACCTACACGTTAACATCAATCTAACTGAACTATTAAACATTGAATATTGACGGGATTTCTTTCGCCATTGACAGTGGATACTTTATAATCTGAAAAATTGTTTAATTAAGACAAGGCTCTTAGTTTGAATCCCGCGAGCGGGATCGTAGATGCACACTGCTGAGAGGTCCCACAATAGGACGAAATGGCTGTACAATGCTTTCAGGTTTTCAATGGTGGTCTAAAATTAGTCGGTTTATGATCTCATTCAAAAACTTCATATTCTCCACAAGCCCATACTGGTTATTTGATTTCAGCTTACATTTGTGTTTCATTAAGAAATGATAGATATCGGGATTATTATTTAAAATATTTTGGCATTTTATATACATACCTGACTTACTATCTGTTTTCGTATAGTCTTTCAGTAAAGATGCTTATTTACTTTATATTCACAGAAATTTGTTTAAATTACTCAAGTCATGGAGAAAAATAAATACAAGAGGTTAAGCATTCACGCTCAAAAACGGTAGGTCCTAAGTTCGAGTCTCGCGAGGCGGGATCAAAGATGCGCACTGCTGAGGAGTTCCATACTAGATCGCAAAGGCCATTCAGTACTTCCCGGTTTTCCATGGTGGTCTAGCTTCAATTGACTCATGAATTCAACTATTAAAATATACAACTTTGTTCAAAATTTAATTATATATTACGATTTAACAAATGAATATTTTCAGAAAGGGTTTTGTGGAGATTTTAGTAATTTCAATAGTTGAGATCATGAGTCAACTGAAGCTAGACCACCATGGAAAATCTGGAAGCGCTGGAAGGCCGTTTTTTCCTATTATGGGACTCCTCAGCAGTGCACATCCATGGTCCAACGGTCATTCAATTACTTACTTACTTACTTACTTACGCCTGTTACTCCCAATGGAGCATAGGCCGCTGACCAGCATTCTCCAACCCACTCTGTCCTGGGCCTTCTTTTCTAGTTCGCTCCAATTCTTGTTCATTTTTCTCATGTCTATTTCCGTTTCTCGGCGTAATGTGTTCTTTGGTCTTCCTCTTTTCCTTTGACCTTCAGGATTCCATGTGAGGGCTTGTCTTGTGACGCAGTTGGGTGCTTTCCTCAACGTGTGTCCTATCCACTTCCAGCGCTTCTTCCTGATTTCTTCCTCCGCTGGGATCTGGTTTGTTCTCTCCCACAGTACGTTGTTGCTAATAGTGTCCGGCCAATGGATCTGAAGTATTTTGCGTAGACAATTGTTGATAAACACCTGTATTTTCTGGATGATGGCTTTCGTAGTTCTCCAGGTTTCTGCCCCATACAGTAGAACTGTCTTGACATTTGTATTGAAAATCCTGACCTTGGTGTTGGTTGATAGTTGCTTTGAGTTCCAGATGTTCCTCAGTTGTAAATATACTGCTCTTGCTTTGCCGATCCGCGCCTTCACATCTGCATCAGATCCACCCTGTTCATCATTCAATGCTTTCAGGTTTTCCATGGTGATCTAGCTTCACTTGACTCATGATCTCAACTATTGAAATGACTAGTTGTTTAAAGGTAATTTTATAAAGTGTACAATTAGATTTCATTTAAACTACATGGCAGGTGAAAAGGTCATGCAAATCTCTGAGATTTAAATTTGAAATGAAAATGTAAAAGGAAAAAACTTTCTATATAGAAGGTTACTATAATGTTTATATCTTTAATAGCGCTATATAGACTGTAAGAAGTAGTAAACACCCATCGTTTCATTTATTTGATTTCTTAATAAGAGTCAGTATTAATAATAAAGTCTTATTGCGATTACGAACTGATTCAAATTAGACAACCACTGGAAACATGAAAACAGTGAACGACTATTCTGTCTGAGTATACAACTTCGCAGTATTACCCATTCACGATACCCTAATCGGGACTCGAACCCAGAAATTCCGATCACTCTAATACAGTCTAACCTTTAGATCACTGAACTGGCATCCACTAACTTTCAAGTTGATATTAATTCCCCATGGAAGTATCTGTATGTTATTGCACTAATGACCTACTGAAATCTTTATGCTATCTACTATTTAACTAACCAAATACCCCCTTAAAAATTGTTTATATTCATCTTGACTAAGCAATAAACCATTTATTCATGTACTTTCATAAGAAAGATTGGTTCAATGAATAGTTCCCATCTTAGAGAATTCATCTTCAAAGACTATAATATAAGGTTGTGGACAAATATCGATTAGAGTTACACTACTATTTTAATCAAATCATCAAATAGTAGCTATGCAATTTTAAAAAAAATCAAATTTCACTTACCATCTGATATAAACTGTAAAAGAAATACAATTATTACATTGATTTCACTAGTGATTATTATTTTTTTGTTCTTTTGCATGTTCAATTTGTCACTATGACATATATTGGATGATATAGGAGTTTCAATAACTAATGATGCTTCTGATCATTACTGTTTATGCATTCAGTAAAATAATAATAATAATAATCAATGTTTAACAATTAATTAGCAATTTGACACAGTTTTGTTTGTGTGTGTGTGTGTGTGTGTGGGGTCTGTGTCGACAAAAGTTTTCTCGTTCATATAATCATGCAACTTATATCAGACTGGTTAAAGCACTATAAACACATACATTTATATAACTGTATATTATTGGTATGCAAGAGTAAACTACATGTAAGCTTAGTTGTTATCCAATGAATGAATACACAATTTGTTTGTTTGTTTGTAACATTTCGATGAATTCATTAGTTAATGGTATATAGATAGTGAAATGTTCATGAAGAAATGATGCATCATCTGTTAAGTATCTAAGTCATAAATAAATCATTTCCATAGTTTGAAACAAGGATTAATGTTTCACTGATTGAAATCATGAGTCAGTTGAAGCTAGACCACCATGGAAAACGTGAAAGCACTAGATGGCCGTTTCGTCCTAGTATGGGACTCCTCAGTAGTGCGCATTCATGACCCTGCACTAAATCACTATCGAAGATTATTTAGCATAGAGCAGCCGTCTTGTTCTAGTATAGGATTCCTCTACAGTTAGTATGAGTGATTTCCCATCTCTCTCTCCACCCAGTAAGGATTAAACCTAGAAACGTCCGTCTCATAGATAGCTAGTTGACAGTCAATGAAAATACAGATGATTATGAATTTGATCGTGGATTCAATCAAAATATTATTTCGTTTGTTTTCTGATATCACACTCCGAAAATTACTCTCTATATGACTAGTATTATGAAATGCAGAAGATTTAAACACTTTCTGTTATCTACATCAGTTATGAATGGATATCTCACAGATGCTTAACTAAGCAAAAATGCTAGTCGAAAAGGAGACCTGAAGTAGTAACAACTTGTCATAAATCACTATTGTTATAAATGGAATTCGTAGATGATGTTGTTAATGAGAATATGATAGAGAAGATAGAAGGAGCTGTAAATAGAACAGAAAATTCATTCAAACTATTAAAAGATGTCTAATGCACCACTTTGAAAATAGTTTACATAATGAAGTGACTTCTGTTAGACGACCATTAAAATCAGAGTCTACTGTATAGTTGTTTCATCATAATATAGTACTATTCAGACATATGTACTCATGATTCAACCATAGATCGAATTGAAGATATTGATGCCTCACTGTGGGTGGATAAATTTTAAACCACTAAATTGAAATCTGATGAGATTGCGGATTTCACAAACTTAACAACTGATGAAGTCTAAATATTTACCAAAATGTTTTATATAATAAAGTAAAGCTTTTCAAAATGATGTCTCATAAAATGACGAAGTAACAAATCTTGTTTATTTATTCCTATATACCCATTTTACATGATTCATTAGACATATCTGCTAACGTTGTCCAACCTCAAGCCAGACGCATAACGTTTTAACTACTGACTCGGCATCTAAACTTCACATATCAATTCATGCTAATGTACAGTCACTCAGTGACGAATACTTTTTTTAATAATTAACCTGATTCCCATAAATTGCCTTAATTAGTTTTGGTTATATGATCCAAAATTGTTTCACGAAACAGTTTGTAATTTTTCGTGTTCTTGATCTGAGTTGTGTTGAAGTCATGTAGAATAGACGCTGGAGGGGGGGGTGAAATCTAGTGTAGATATTCGTCTAATGTAACTTAACGTCCCATTCGTGTAGACGAAGATTTTAGTCATTTCAATAGTTGAATTCATGAGTCAATTGAAGCTAGACCATCATGGAAAACCTGAAATCCCTGAACGGCTGTTTCGTCTTAGTGTGGGACTCTTCGGCAGCGCGCATTCACGATCCCGCCTCGTGAGATTCCAACCAAGGACCTACCGGTCTCGCGCGCGAACGCTTAACATCTAGACTTTTGAGTTGGCATCCAGTGGTGTTAATGTCTAACTTCAACCAATTCACGAAATTGTGCCACTGTCCATCATTGTCTTTAGTGAGTTACTCTATCACAACAGACCCGACTGAACTCCACTGGTCACTGCTTCTCATTAGAACTCCAGGGAATACCTCTTGAAGCTAGTCATCAGTGTTCACATCATGAATAATATCAGAATCGGTTTGGTGTAATAGTTGAATCTCTCAGGGCGAGATCGTTGATTTGCACCGCCAAGGAGTTCCATACTAGGACGAAAAGGTCGTCCAATGCTTCCAGGTTTTCCATGGTAGTCTATCTTTAATTGATTCATGAATTCAATTAATAAATTAAACAAAATTAATTTTACAAATCTGACAATCTAGATCTTACCTGAACTCGTTTTGATATAAAATTCTGTAATACAATTTAAAAACTTATTTGTTGTAGTGTTATACAAGCCCATAAAGCTTATTCTAACATTTGGACAGGTTTATTTATTCATTCTTTTTGAGTCACATTTTAAACCTTGTTAATTATTCACTTGACAACCAATAAATCTTCACTAGTTTTAATTATGAAAATTATTTATACATTTAAAAAAAAATATTTATCCATAAATAATCATCTATTTTAGTTGACATAGTGAAATTGTATGTCGAAATATATAGTTGAAATCATGAGTCAGTTGAAACTAGACCACCATGGAAAGCCTAGAAGTACTGTACGGCTGTTTTGTTCTAGTATGGGACTACTCAGCAGTGCTCATCCACGATTCCTTCCGCCGCTCGCGCGCGAGACTGATAAGTCATGGGTTCGAATCTCGTAAGGGGCGAGGTCGTGGATGCGCACTGATGAGGAGTCCCGTACTAGAATGAAACAGCCGTTCAGTGCTTCGAGGCTTTTCATGGTGGTATAGCTTCAATTGACTCGTGATTTCAACTATTAAAATTATTAAAATCTTCACAAAACCCCTTCTAAAAAAATATAATCAATTTTAGACATGATTGGAACATTTTGAGCTACATTAATATCTGAAGGGGATATTTTGATGAATTGTTAATTTAAATGAATATTCTCATTGATCAAATTGTAATAAACAAGATCATAAGTGAAGATGATCAAATGAATCTTAATACAAAATTATATCATCTCTTAGTAAAATCTAAGAACCATAAAGTAAATGCTTCGGTGAGACTATAATTTCTGGATGACATTTAAGAGACGTTAAAGTGACATTGAGAGTGTTCACCTAATATCTAGGACCAAATGTGGGTTATAAAAAAGTATGAAGAATTATAATTATGATTTACATTTGATGGTTAAGGTTAAGAATTAGATTTATGGTTTTCATCACGAACTGACATCAGCTATAATGTCAAGACTCTATTTAACCAAATGGATGAGCGAATTTCGCACTAAAATCCGAGACCTATTATCTTATACCTGATTGATTCGTTCATAAATTATAGTCTCGCCGATACTTCATTTTCAAAATATTCATCAATTATCTCAGACTTTATTGATTCTTCATTTTCATACTAATCATTCTTTGTTCACATTCTCTTTGTTGTATCCTAGCGAATATATATATATACTTATTGTATAACTATTCAGTAACTAGATTTGGTATATTCATGTTCCTCTTATTGTAACCTTCTACCGCCAGGCATTCCACTTTCGCTTGGTAATACATACAACTTTTACCTCTCGGCATCAGTAGCACACACCACAAAACAACTTCCTATGTCTATAGATATTTAAGTGTTGAAAACATTAAATGACAAGTGTGGAATAGTTTTATTGAGAAACAACCCCCACATTTCAAACAGAATCATTCTTGATTCAAAATAGCAAGAACACTTTACACATTAGTATCAACCAGTATAAAAATCTAGATCCAAGGTTTTCTGTTAAACGTTTTAATATATTATATAACAGTCTTCACACTGGGTTGGTAGACTTTGACTTAGAATACTTTATACGAAGTTGCGCCACCGATCACCATTGTCTTCAGTGAGCTGATATCTCACAACAGACCTGGTTGAACTCCACTGGTGATTTCAACCTGTGAAATTTACTAAAATCTCCACAAAACTCATTCTGATAATAATCAACTGCTCACTAGTGACTGACTTCAGGAGATACTCCTGGAGTTCTAGTGAGAAGCCGTCACCAGTGGAGTTCAACCAGGTCTGTTGTAAGATATCAGCTCACTGAAGACAATGGTGTTCGGTGGCGCAACTTCGTGAATTGGTTGAAGTTAGACATTAACACCATTGGATGCCGGATCAGTAATCTAATGGTTGAGTGCTCGCGCGCGAAGCCAGTAGGTTCTGGGTTCGAATCCCACGGGGGGCAGGCTCGTGGATGCGCACTGCTGAGGAGTCCCATACTAAGACGAAACGGCCGTCCAGTGCTTCCAGGTTTTCAATGGTGGTCTAGCTTCAACTGACTCATGATTTCAACCTGTGAAATTTACTAAAATCTCCACAAAACTCATTCTGATTAGAATACTTTAGTCATTTCCTTTCACATTTTTAGAATTGTTTGAAAAGATTCGGTAAACCAACAGGTATTTTTGTGAATTGTAAGTTATCATGTCATTACATTATAATCAAAAGATTTCTATGAATGCTATTTATTTTGTACCTATTTTCAATGGGTATTTTTGTTAGCGGGACATAGACCGGATTAAAGCATGTTCAATTCACGATTGCTTCAGTGCACGCTGATTGGCTAATTCTTATCCAATCAGCACTAGTCGATAGTTAGAGAATACTCTAGAATCTTCTCATGTAAAAAAGACTATAAATATACTGACGTTTTCTCTATTGTGCTTCTGACTTGCTTCTTACTTCCATCTAACCTTGTTATTTTGAATATAATCTCTTTCCTGTTCAACCGTGTTCTGATTTGGGGTCTTGTCGAATGATTTAGTGTCCAAGAATACTAAGCAATAGGAATAGCTGGGTCATAACAGTAAGAAAAGAGATTATAACAATTTTTGATTTGGG